GCTGTTCTTTATTTTCATGAAGAATATCCTCTGTTGTCCTGGTTTTTATGTTATGTTATTTCAGGTGTTGTAATCTTATCGATTTTACTACCTGTTCTCCCCCTTGCTCCCTTCTCCCTCGTAGTTTTTCTTGTACTACTGATCGTTGCATTTTTTTCTTAAAACAAACAAACAAAAAAAAATACAACCATTATTTTCTATGAAAAAAAACTATTTCACCAAAGTAAAGGGAGAAAAAAGTGGGGGAGGGGGGGAGGGGATGACTATAGATGAAAAGGTAAATTAAAAAAAAGTGATAGTCGTCTCTCTTTAGGAAAAGAGTGAAAAAAAACCAAGAGATAAGTAAACAAAGCACATGGACTGTAAACTTGCTTTTTTTAAAAAAATAATAAGTGTACACAAGTAATAAGTAGGTAAATAAATCGTATAAAACAGTTGTTGACAATCAACTTTTGTTTCATTTCTTGCCTGTTTGTTTGTTCTATTTATTGAGTTGTGGAGAGTAGTTATTCGAAGACAATGAATAAAACTGTAATAAGTATTCATTGTGATTAAAGATGTTTTTCGGAAAAGTTGTCATAATCAATTTACTTATTTACTTACTTACGCCTGTTACCCCTCGTAGATGAGTATAGGCCGCCCACCAGCATCCTCCATCCAATGTAACGACTATATATATGAGAAAACAATGATTTATAGATATTGTCTTCTATTCAAACTGATGATTATACTCTATTTATACAACATTTGTGTAGTATAAAAAGTATGTAAGGTTGTGGACAGTTCAAAAGATAAGATACAAATGTCTATGTATATATGGACACTTGAAAAATGGGTTACACAGGTAGCATATTTCATTTCTTAGAATGATAATATTTCCTAGAAAAATAAAAGTTGTAAAACGATACATGATAAGAATCTTACATAAAACTGTTCGTTAATTTAAAGAATAGTTGTGTTTCGTGAAGGGAATAGAGTTGAAAATTCTATGTCTACAGTTTGTTTTTTTACCTAGAAACTAGGGTAAATGAATTAAATAGATATTAAGCGTATTATTTATTTGATGTGTGTATAGGGGCAGTTGAATAATTAAGGTAATTGAGTTTCAACCACTGTATTACCAGTTTGAATCCAGCTTTGTATATTTCTCTTTGGTCAGTTGGGTACTGTCAATAGTCTTCATATATCTGAAGTATAACTCGAAGATAGTTTTGTTCTCTGAGCTGGTTGGTTTGGTCATGGAGCTTTCGTCGTTATTCTGAATAACATTATCAGCACAAACTTCAAGTAGAAATGAAGTGTTCGAATTTCTCCACATATGGTTCACAGCTTTTCTTGTACATCTCGATCTTCATTGGTGATTGTCGACCTTTAACCTGTCATTATTTACTTCTTTATTTTGGTTGTATCTCCTATTGATTCGAACACTTCACTTCGACTTAAAGTTTGTGCTGATAGATGACGTTCAGAATAATGATGAAAGCTCCACGACCAAATCAATCAACAAAATCCATCAAAATCATCCACCTGAGCTACAAATCTTCTCTACCATCTCAAAGTTGGTTACATAAGCTTGTACTCAATAAATGAGTTACCATAATATTTATTTGATAAAATCATTTTTAACATTATGAGGAGAGGTTGTTCATGTCACTGATTAAATTGAACTAGACAAACAGAATATTAAACAGATACTTCATCCCATCCCAAGTGATCAAATACAGAACCTTCATATCTTCTGATGATTTTATCTCTGATACAATCGTACACATTTCCGACTTCATTAATGAGTCTCATGTTAAGGTGAAACATCTATCTAGTGATTCTTAGTCTTTAGTGCTTGTTTAATTAAAGTCATTTTGTAATGTAATCTACTTATTAGTTTACAAATCATCTATATTCATTCCATACTTGAAAAAAATTGATTTACATGATAGTAATAAGAGAACAAACACTGATCCATATGAAAATTTATTCCATGTTTAGCCGATACACTCATTTATCTATCCATTTTATTCATATTCGTTGGTAAATTAACACTTATTATATATTTGCGGTGGGGTGATGTTATTGTTGTGGTGGTGGTGAATATGCACAATTACCACGAAAAAATGCACACTCCATATTATACTGGACGATGATAACACTAAATTAATGCAAAAATATCCTGTATAATCGTCACATTGAAATAAAATCAATGTTATGCTTGAACAAAATAACACTCTGTAAAGAAAACGATTATTATTATTATTATTACCATTACCATTATTATTACTATTACTATTATTATTACCCCCAAATGCCCTGGTACGGCCGAGAGTGGCGAGAGTCCGCTCTCCCTCTCGAAATGCTCTCACATGGCCACGCGTATATAGCCTCTGCCAGGGAAGTCCTACTCACTGCCTTCTCGTGGCAGGGGTGTTGTTTACAAAAATGAGAGGACGAAAAGCGAATGTCCGGCGCTTTAACCGGATCACAAACCAATGGTGCACATGGGCTCAAGTATCCTGCAGGAACAAATGGCGTATGAACCAATTGTTGGTCACCGGCTTCCATGGGATTGCATCTCCTCACGATGCTCCACTGTCTTGTGGACCAGACCTTCAGGTCAGAGGCTCGGGGAGTGGCCCCCTAAGAAAACCACCTGCTTCGGTTTGGGCACCCGGGCAGTATCATAGCCCTCACACATATCGAGTGAGATTTGTGTGGCGCATATGTATTTGGTGCCTCCTTGTACCAATATCTCTGTGTTAAAATAAATAATATTACTATTATTATTATTACTATTATTCTTACTATTACTATTAATATAATAATAATTATTATTACTATTATTATTATGAATGTTTATCTTACTGAATTAAAAATATTAGTAATATTGAACCGAAAACATGATTTCACGTTTTTATTTTATCTCGACAGTATTATTGAAGAATAGTTTCATCCCTTTTTGTTTTCTTCCCTAGAAACACTTTTTGGCAGTATATATTGATAAGCCTTTTTTCTTTTAAAGATTAAATCTAGAAAATATGTTATAATATATAGTAATCAGGTTAATTTAGGGACCAATTCTTCTTATTTCAACGATAGATATTTGAAATTTACTTATTAAATTTCTATAGTTGAATTCATGAGTCAATTAAAGTTAGACCACTATGGAAAATCTGGGAGCACTGGACGACCGTTCCATCCTAGTATGGAACTCCTGAGCAGTGCGCATCCACATTCCTGCCTGCGGGATTCAACTCATGAACTCAATTATAAAATTACTAGAATGTCCATGAAACTCCATTCTGATATTAAATTTCTCACATGTCTTAAAAAGATACATTAAGCGAGAAAAAGTAGCAACTTTTTAACGAGCGTCGAGAAGTGCTACATACATTATTTTATAAACAAGGATGGATAGTGGCTAGCAGTGGGATCCAGGACGCACTTTTCGTCACGTTTGGGACTCATCAGCTGGGTGTACCTGCATTTCAGAGTTGATGTTCACTCTGGGGCTCGAACCCAGTACCGTCCACTTCAAACACCATCGCATTATCCACTTAGCTACTAAGCCCTGATAGCTATTTGCATGGGCAATAGGAGTGAAGTTTATATTCACTTGGCAATCTAGCTGACGAGTCTCATCTAGGACGAAACACTTATCCTAGGTTCAACTGCTAGCCACTTTCCATGTTTGCTTGTAAAGTTTGTGACTTAAGGCAATCTGCTTAGGATGCTCATATGCCAATAAGAGACCAATCAATTGCAGTCCTAAACGTTAGTAGGAAGATACAAGCAAACAACACCTAATGAATTGACATGTTTTTATTTTATAAAATGTAACGTATTTCTCTTGAGTAGTGTCTTTGTAATCTACGAGTTAACTTGAAATAAATTATACAGAGATTATTCTTTTCACACGGTCACGTCTGAAAGTCATATATTCTATGTCTATGATCATATACATTTCTAAATTGTAAACTCTAGTGGCATTCAGTATTCAATGTTATAGTCTAAAACAGTTTCAAAATGTTCAACCTTCATAGTTAGAAATGTCATGATGATGTTTATTTTTTTGATGAAGAGTTTATATCGAAATTAAAAAAAGGTTTTTGGTATTGTCATTTTCCCAACAGAACTGCTTTACTTTGGATAGTGGTTAATATTGGGATTTGGAATGGTCAGAGTCTTATTTTAATTAGGACTGGATAACCCGAACCATTAGTCATTGATCTAAACGTTTTAGGTTATTTATTTATTTAAACACGTAAACATTGGTACAAGAAGGCATTAAATATATATGCACCACACTTTGTCATTCGATTTGTGTGAGGACTGGAATTACTGCCCGGGCGCCCAGACCGAGACAATTCTTTTCCTTATAGGGCCGCTCCTCAAGCCTTTGATTTAGAGGTCTAATCCACTAGGCAGTGGAACAACGTTAGGAGATGGAGTCCCATGGTAGCCGGTGACCAACAAAAGGTTCAGATGCCATTCGTTTCATTAGGATCCTGAAGCCCATGTGCACGACTGGTTTGGAATCAGGGATTTTCAACTCTCCTAGGTGGATCCTCTACATCCACTAAGTCGATTAAAGCGTCAGACATTCGCTTTTCGTCTTCTCAATTTCATAGAGAACACCCCCACCTCGAGAAGGCAGTGAGTAGGACTTCCCTGACAGTGGCTGTATACGAGTGGCTATGTGACAACATTTCGAGAGGTAGAGAGGACTCCCCCCTTGTCTGTACTAGGGTATTTGGGGGCAAACGTCCTAGGATTATTCACTAGATTGTTGAGTCACCACCTATTCAACAGATTTAATATTACTTTTAACTGTAACGCTAACTGCTTCACAGTAATGCGCGACCATCCTCGATTGATTGAGGCGGATAAATGCCTCCAATCGATATGGCTGAACTCCATTTATCACGGCTTCTTAATTGAACTGCAAAAATTAGAAAGTCGAACCGATGCATATATCTATAAATATTTTCTCTCTATCCATTTTCCAGGTCCTGAATATGCCAGTGCATCTATATTCGGCTTTACACCACCACCATCGGATCTATCAGATGGAGCATCTATTCATTGTGGAGAGAACAACAATAATGGTAATAATAATATTCCATCGAATTATTATCGTCCAATTATTTCAAGACTTGGTAATAATCAACATTATCCAACATCTGGTTTGATGCCTAATTTAAATTCCAATTACAATGGACCTGTTAGTACATTATCGAATACAGGGGGGCCAACTTATGAATTGCATACAAAAATTCATATTTTACCTAACGACACTATAAATAATAATAATAGTAATAATAATATTAATAATAATGAGCAATTTTATTCATCAACTGTAAATCAACCAAATGCAACAGGATTTTTATTTCTTCCACGTTCACAAATTGGAAATGTTGGGGGAGGTGGAGGCGGTACTATGATGAATCGAATATCATTTGCTACTAATCAATTTCCACAATTGAGTCATACTAATATTCCTAGCAATAATGGATTTATATCTGTAACAAGTGGAGATTTATATAATATCTATCAAACAACTGGGATAAATCTACCAATTCAATCAAATTTACAGACCTCTCTACAACAACAACAACAACAAATGTACTGTCAACAACAGCCAACTGAATATAAGGTAAGTAGATCATTGTATTACGATTAACAAGTGTTCACGATCATTCATTCAATTATTATTCAACTATGATGGTCAATCTGTGACCATCTCAATATTACGGACGGAGTATCTATCTAGTGCTCCCTGGTTTTTATTAGTTTCTCAAATGTTTTCAGTTTTTGAAATAAAAACTAACCTCAATCAACAATACAAAACATACAACGTGATATACATACACACTTCGACAAAACTTAATATCAGTATAATGGACTCTGATAAAATCAATTTAATTCCTAGAAGAAGAAAAAAAGCATGATTTTACTCGAGATTGTTGACATGTATCAATATACATGAAATCCAATCATAAGACAAAACTTGAACTATGATTAACTTCTATTTTTCTATGGTAAATCTAACATCTAATATTCATCCTTAGATTAAACGAATTTCCACAATTCATAGACCAATTCAAGAATATGATAGTTATTCATTTGTGATGGTGGATAAGATTTGTAACTGAGGTGGATGATTTTGATGGAGTTTTGTTCTATGAGCTGGATAGTTTGATCTTAGAGCTTTCATCGTTCTTCTGAATGACATCATCAGTACTTCTACCTGGAGTCTGTGCTGCTGATGTTGTTCAGAAGAATGATGAAAGCTTCACGATCAAACCATCCTGTTCAGAGAACAAAACTCCATCAAAGTTATTCATAAAAATGAATCAGTCATCAATAAAGTACAACTTGGCATGAATATGTATCAGCCCAAAAGTGGACTAAACTATTTCGAACATATTTCAAAGAATTCGGTCTACATTATATGTAGATATAAAATGCGTGTTTTAAACTCTTGCAAATGAGATTTTTAACCAGGTTTACTTTTAATGTCAATATGTTTGAATTTAGCAACCATGATTTCATGTAAGACTATAGTTTTCACAAGGCGATTCTCCCTGAAATACTATTTATATAATTTGACCCTTGTTTGAGTCTCTGGATTTAGTTTTTATTGTCATGGTAACATTTACTACTAAAACATCGAATTACGGGAGTTTTCATGTCTGTGAACCTATGAATTTCTTCAAGATCATACACACACAGTTTATTGATCAGTGTAATCTAGCAAAACACTAGATCATAAAGTTTTCTGTTGATTTTCTCCAACTATTTAACAATTATTGTTATTGAGTTTAAGGTTTCACATCATGGATTGACTTTACTTATACAATCATTGAAAAGCAGAATGTCTAGATTTCTGTTCCAACCCAATATATGACTCTTCAGTATTATACATTCATCTCTCGGTCAAGAGTCGAACTCATGACATTTAGTCTTGATGGGGATTACCTAACCTGCATATCATTAAATTGACATTCACTTATCTACTTTTAACAGTTCCTGTACGGCATCATCTGTTTTTGCAGTAATATCTACATTTCCACTTATCATCAAGAAAAAAATCATTTAAATCCAATAGGGAGCGAACAAATGAGTCTTGTAGGCTTCATAGTCCAATTTTTTAACCACTGATATTTTCAACTTAATTGAAACTTATTTCACTGTTAATAAGGGTTTAGATTATTTCGTTGTTGATATTCAAGGCTGAATTTTGATCAGTCTTGACTACTACTGATATCAGTATCATACCTGTCGAACTAGTTAATGGGTGGCTATTTGATTGAACTCAGTACCTTAGTATGGGATGACACGTTAGCGTTTGAAGTAAAAGATGACGTGTTCAGGTCTCAATGTGAACATCAATAATGAAATACAAGAATAACAATCCAGAACGTCCCGAATAGTAGGGTACAATGAGCATCCTGAATTCCACTTCTTATACTCACAATCTATCCATTCTTTAAATGAAACTTATTTTAAATGTTAAATTCCATTCTAAATAATTAGCCATGTTGTTTTTCTCTATTTTGATACATTTTTTTTTAGTTTATTAAACAATCTGATGATAATACAACATGGCAATTATCATCAACATTATCGAATAATCGACAATCAATTATTATCAATTCGACACCTCAACAGATATCACCATTTACCGAACAATGTTTAAATAATTTAGATTCTTCATGGACCGGTACTGTAAATAGTAATAATAATGATAATAATTCTCATAGAATAACAAATATGCCAGATACAAATATAATGGGTACATTGAAAGCTAACTATTTCCTCCCTATTATGAATACTTCAACTACACTAAATAATAATAATGATAATAATAATCCTAAACACGATGAACAACAAATTGCACAATCATATTTTCTTGCAAATCATCAACAAGGGAAACAACAACAAATTACTTATCCTTCATTTCCTCCTCCACCGCCACGAATACTTACTTCAATAAATTCAGGGATATTGTCAACTACATCACCATCAACAACAATATCAACAACCATTACATCACCGATATCATCAAATGAACTAAATTTTTCTCGTAGTAGTCCAGTAGGTGCAACAGAGGCAATAACAACAATATCGACAGAATCTGGAGCTACGAATGGAGACGGTGGGGGTGGTTGTTATACAATGATTGATTGAAAACACAATATCTGATCCTCCTGTACCATTTTATTCTGTATGTTTATAAGATATCATTGTCTATGTAGAAATTAACACTAACGACAACAGCCATAATAATAATAGTAGTAGCAGTAGCAGTAGTGAATAACACCTTTATAGGACTGTGTATTACATAAAATACAAACATTTATCATGCATATATATATGGAAAAATCTATGTGTATATTTGCCTTATTTCTAGTATGAACAGGGAATTCATTTGGATACATGTTTGATATAACAAGGCAGTTCTCTTACTGGCTACTGCAAATAATAGTATCAATGATACTATTTCCTCGTCCCCCCCCCCGACAGGGGTGTGTGTATGGATTAAAATATTTCTATTTCAACTTGTACAAAATAAGTTTTTGTTTTTTTTTCTGAAAAATAAAAAAAAGAAACAATTCGATATAAATTCCATTGATTTTCCGTTTCTTATTGTTGTTGATTGTTCTGTCAAATCATCATCATCATCATGTTTGTTTGTTTTATAATCGTCATCTTCACCATCGTTGAATCTGATTTATCTTCTGTCTTGATTAAAATATGTTTACATGCTTTTTTTTACTGTTTCTTTCTTCAATAATTGTCTTCCATTTCCCTCCCCCCCACACACACAAAGAAAAACGAGGGAATGATTATTTCATTTTCATTTTAAAGAATCAATAACAAAATCTTCCATATTTCAATGAGAACATTCAACACTTTACCCCCGGTGGTTGTTACTCTTTCTCTTCTCTTTTTTTATTTAAAAAAGTTAGATGTATGTGTATCTTCTGCATGTTTTGTTTTTCCGTTGAAAAATGAAAACTCAACTAAGATGAACTTGTAAAAATGGGATTTGTATGTCATTGATTAACAGTTTATCTTTCACAGCTATTCTACTATAACAACAACAACAACAACATAATTATCCATTTGATTTTCTAAATAGAAATAAAATTTCCCGATTTCCAAGATGATTCTTTCTTGACTTTAATTATAAATGCCAATTGTCTATTCTTATGTTATGCATGTATTTCACATGTGTGTGTGCATGTGTATGTTTTGATGAAATTCATCAGTATGTGATAATTTGATGAACATTAAATTCCATCATAAAGTTTTGTTTCTGTGCTGAAGTACCCCTCCCTCCACCCTCTAACTACTTTCTTTTTTAAGAAAGAATAATACTAATAATCAGTTGGGATTTTAAGTGTATTGGTAACTAACATTGATAATTGTGTACACAGATTTATTCCTATTCATCATTAGTACATTTAATCCAACATCATTTTAATACCGTTTTTATTGTTAAAAAGGAAAAAAAAAGAAGTTAATATGTGTACAGTACATTTTTCTATTTATATTTGTCCAATGCTTCAAATTAGTTTAATCTGAGGTGTTTTGAATAAAAAACAAAATTTGCTAAATGTTTCCATTTGTATGTATATGAAGTCTGTGATTAATAGATGTGTTTAATTGTTGTCGTTGATGTTGTTGTGGTCAACAGTTTTTCGTATGACATAAGATTGACCGGTCGATTAGAAGTGTATTTGTTTGTTTCAAATACTTGCATGTATGTGTGTTCATACATAATAATAGTAGTACATTATCCTTTTGTAATTCTCATCTTTATCTCCCCCTCCTCTCCTATGTCTTCTTGTTTGTATTTTCATTGGATTCAATTATTTATTTTTTATTGTGTTAAAAAGATAATGAAAGGAGACTAAAAGCGACATCATTACAAATTGTGGTGTTTGATTGGGGAAGTTTTCTCTTCTTTTTTTTCCCGGATGTTCAAAAACGTCGTGTTGATATTTTTCAAACAAAAATAAAGATTATTACTCGCATAAATTTGGTATTTCTTTATTTCTGGCATTTCTGGATTGATTTTACTGATGGAACTAGGTATTTAACTTGTGTATGAAGTAAATATTAACAAAAATGTTGCTATTACGAAAGAGTAATTGTCAAATGGTGTAGTTATTCAAAGGTTTACTTTTCTCGTTGAAATTTAAATTATAAAGATAATTGTTTATAAACTGTAACAGTAACTACAAAAAATTGTTTCAGCAAACTAGTTATAGGCTACTTAACTTAGCCCCTCATTCAGCATGTTCTTGATTCTTGTTTATGTGTAATGATATTCTGATGATTAAGTTTAAGTATAATGCTCTATAATGCAGCATAAATCAAACCAAGTGTTGACTATGAATATGTCATGCTTAGTTTTATTGAAGACAATTATTTACAAAAAGTTGGATTGTTGAGGAAAGTGTTCATCTGTGAATGCGATTGTGACATGGTTGTGAATAAATGTAGGTAATTACAATATAGAATGATATTATGTTGTAATTGTTGGAGTAATCACTCAGTCGGGAATGCATCATTTACTGTCGCGTTCTAATTTAACATTGAGACAATTAATGCTGTTAGTAATTGATTGGACAGTAGGGACGGAAAGTACAAATGCAGTTGGATTGGTCAATTTCTCAAGACAATACGATTACAACTACCATTATGCTTTGTTGCTACCAGAACAGTTGTTGAGATTGGTAAAACTAAGGTACATAAACGTGTACAATGGAGGGAGGAAGGGAAAAGATGCTGGATGGGTAAGTAACATTTATTTAACTATATAAAATCACTTAGACAAGGATGACTTGTAGTCATATTCATAAGAACTCTGTTCATTAGTTTCTAATTCAAGACAGAACACCTGACAGGTAGTCGAGAAAGATTCACTAGTAATGAGAAATTCTCCATTTTACATTATGAATAGTTCATAATAGCTATTTATGTCCTTAATGGGAGTTAACATATTCAAAATGAATGGAAAAGGCCGGTACCACCAAACAGGTCATGTATATCACGTATATCATAAGTGACCTGTGTCAATGATTAAGGGCATGTAGTGGCCCTGGTTCCTAACCACACAATTCAAGAAGCTGAACACATAATTACTGGGAAGACTGACATTCAACATGTGACGTTCACAGGAAATCGGTAGTTGTGAATGCGGGAATAATAATTCGAGGTGGCATGGCTCGACTTTGCAGACGTGGTCAGTACGTGTAACCTTTTACTATTTGCATTAGATATGCTATTTATTCCCAGTCCAAATGTACTATTCGGAAGTGCTAAGCATCACATTGTTAATGGTTACGGTACGATGAGTCAGAATAAACAATGACGTAACTTTCACATCATGACAAATCTAACATTAGGTTTATTATCATAGTAGTGGAAATAAATGCACTGATACCATAATAGTCCATGTTTCTACAGGCCTACTCCATTTGGACGAGAATGGTGAGAGCTCCTAGCTTATATAGAAGCCACACCCTACGGTTACTACCTATAGCGGATTATTCTTAAGTTGTATCCAGTTACATAACGATATTAGGGAAATGTATTAATAAGATTAGATACAAAAAACAGTACGACCACTGCTGTGTGAGCCAGTCCATGACGTCCACTTGACCAATGCACATCGGTTATCCTCTACTTTGAAGAAGATCGGTAAACCGTTCGATATTCGATTTGGCTAGGGCCGAATAATATTTCCTTCCTTTACAATACCATCCCACTAGACCCAACGGCCGTTTGAATAGGTAACAAACATATAGAGGGTCTTCATGCACCGAAGATTGCCGAGCGATCCATAATAATCCACCAGAAACTGCCAAGTTGTATGGCAAATGGAAAGTAGGCGTCAGTAACTGATCGGGAAATGATGAGTAATAATTAAGTTGGGAGTGTGGGATTAATTGTTGTTCTTAACAGTGTTACTTACAGGTGGGTTTAATGTGAAGCGAATGTAAAGCTAAGATGCTTCGACTACTCGCTGCGAATGACTCAGCCATTCCTACCTATGGTACACGACAGCTTACGGACAACCTGTGAAACCGACGATATTATCTGTTGACGCTCATCATTGTCGATGTTCCCACAACCATACTCGGTATTGATTTCCTACAGCACTATGACTTGTAAATCAGTTCACCTAGGCTGCAGCTAATCTATACTTTGTCAAACAGTAAATTCATGGGCTTTAAAGCTCAGACAAATGCGTACCGAATCACAGGCATTTTTCACTCGCGTGACGATGTATTCCACGCTTTATTTCAGAAATTCCCCAACTAACTAAACCTCTTGAGGAGCTCCCATCGGTGACCAATCGTGTGGTACACCACATAGTCACCCGCGGACCCCCAGTCACGGCAAGATCTCGCCGACTGGCACCGGATAAATTGGCTTTCGCTAAACATGAATTTGACAGTTTACTAGCTACTGGTATTATTCGTCCTTCTTACGGCCCTTGAGCCTCACCTCTTCACATGGTGCGCAAAAAAGATGGGGTTAGTTGGAGACCATGCGGCAACTATTAAGCATTAAATGTAGCTACACATTTTGATAGCTGCCCTATCCCCCACATAAACGACATCACGGCATCACTCAAAGGCACGACTACTTTTTCTGAAATCGATCTGGTACGAGCATGTCAGCAGATCCCAGTCGCTTTTGAAGACATCGAGAAAACTGCTATCACGTCTCCTTTCGGTCTGTTTGAGTTCTTACGAATGCCACTTAGATTACGGAATGCTGCTCAAACTTTCCAAAGGTTTATCGATGACATAGTACGAGACTTAGATTTTGTTCACGTCTATATTGATGATCTGCTAATCGCATCATCAGACGTAGATGAACATTATCAACATCTTACACTCTTATTCCAACGTCTTTTGGACAATGGAATAGTAGTCAACTCGGACAAGTGTGAACTGGGCAAATCAGAAATAATGTTCTTAGATCACACTATTAAGCAAGAGGGTATTTTACCTTGTGAGGACAAAGTACGTGCAATAATGGAGTACACCGTACCGTTCTCATTCAAGGAACTGAAGGCATTTTTCGGTTTGGTTAACTTCTACCGACGTTTCATCCGACACGCAGCAGAACGATTGCGACCATCAGCCGACTTACTTCGCGGTAATCCACGCAAATTAGGATTGGACGATGCCGCGCGTGCTGCATTTTCAGAGATCGAAATGGCTCTGGCTCAAGTTACACTCCTCGCTCGTCCCGATCCATCAGCCACGCTTAGTATAGAGGTCGGTGCATCGAATTTTGCTATGGGAGCCGTCATGCGACAGAACGTTTCGAGAAGTTGGCAACATCTCTAATTTTTCTCACGACGCCTCACTCCCATGAGGACGAGATATAGCGCTTTTGGTCAAGAATTACTAGCAGCCTACTGTGCCATCAAGCATTTCCGGCACGCAGTAGAAGGTCGCCATTTCATCTTATTCACCGACCATAAGCCTTTAACCTATGCTCTGCATACCAAGTCTGATGGCTACTAACCACGAGAATGCAGACCTTTGGACTACATCTTTCAGTTCACGACAGACCTTCGTCACATTAAAGGCGGGTAGAACTATGTTGCTGGTGCTCTGTCACGTATTCGAGTGAATGCAATTACTTTGCCGGTGCTTGATCTTCCTGCTATGGCTGTCGCTCAAGCAAGCGATCCCTCCTGAGCGGGAGCTCAACATTATACATCCCTTCAGTGCCTGGAAGTACTCCTTGTTACTAGCTCAGGTAACATCCCGCGTGATGCTTCTACTGGTTTCCCCTGACCCATCATACCCTCTGCTTACCGTCGTCTCGTCTTCGATGCTTTGCGTGGATTGTCTCATCCAGGTATCGCAGCCACATTACACCTCATCGCTGCACTGTACGTCTGGCCTTCCATGAATAAAGATGTCCGTATGTGGCTAAAGCAATGCTTACGATGTCAACGATTGAAAGTGCACAGGCACGTAGCTGCCCCCATTGGCACGTTCGCTACGCCTGATGCTCGCTTCGATCACGCTCATTTAGATATTGTGGGGCCATTGCTACCATCACATGGATATGATCACATACTCACGTGCATCAACCGTTTTAAAAGATGGCCCGAAGCTATACTCATCACGTCTATTACG